GTTCCAGATCAATCTCAACTAACTAGTGAGACCCTGTCTCAACAAACAAACAAACAAACAAACAAAAAGAGAGAATTTAGGATTCAAAAGAAAAGCTGCATTTGGCATGTCTGAATTATCTTTTTCATTCTTTTTTGGTGTTCTGACACAAAGTCTCACTGTAAGAATCAGGCTGGCCTTGAAGTGTGGTGATCCTTCTGCCCCGGCCTCTCAAGTACTTGAATTACAGGCATATGCTACCACGACCAGATACTTTCAAATTCTTGAGTCTTTTTCTATGTCTCACATAGAATGCTTGAATTTGAAAACAACTGCAAATCATAATTAAAGATAGGTACAGGGGCATGGCTCCACTGTAAAATCTAAATCTGGCTTCAACTTGGCGATATGGTGAAGAGTCTGGTTCTCACTTCCTTATAAGCCTGAGAGAAACCACAAAACAAATCTACTTTTGGGGCCAGAAATGTGTGTCAGAAGTGTTTTCTGCCAACAAGAACTTTCTGAATACCCACACACACATACAATCAACAGTTTGCTTTTTTACTACAGTTTACAGAAAACTTTAAAAAGCTTTATTTCAACTCATGAACCAAAAAGGTATTGCCCCACTTTATTCTTCCTTCGCTAGGATGTACGTAAATAACGCTGTTGCAAAAACTGCAAGTTTTAGACTTGTCTATGTGATGATCTTTCTTACCTGGCCTGTTAGTGGCTGCCATGATAAAAACCTGCTGTCGTGTTTCTAGACCATCCATCTCTGTAAGTAGCTGATTCACCACCCGGACACTTGCGCTGGACTAAAAGAAAAACAAATCTATTTCCATCAGCCTTTAGCACAAAGGGGGAAAAAAAAATCTCATTTTTACCCCGTGTAAAATAATACATTTGCTAACGTTAATGAAGGCTTTTGTCAAAAGGTAACCAACAATGTCTAGGAACTGTGGTGTGGGCACTGTGGTGTGGACCTCAAGTCCCTGATACTCGGGAGGCTTGAGGTAAGCGGATCAAAGGTTCAAGGCAAACCTGGGTGACAGCAAGATCTTGTCTCCTTTTTAAAAACAGAAGTTACAGATGAGCATTTCATGAGGTCGCTCTATACACAAGCACTGTTGCCACAGGATACCATCAGCAGACATCCTGCAATCCTGTTATACACAGCCAACACAAGCAAACTAAGGCTGAGAGAGGCTTTACTACTGGACAAGAGAAGGGTTTCATAGCAAAAGAGAAGGAAACAGAAAGGAGTAAAACGCAGACACATCCTGCCCAGCCAGCAAGTGCAATGCGGTGCTCCGGACTCCACAGGAGACTTTGGAATAGGATGGGGAGCCATGGAAAAAGATATCACCACCAGAGGAGAAATGCAAAACAGATGACTGTGATGGTGTGGACTAATAGGCAAGGAGACAAAACTGCTATCATCTGAGTCCTATTTATACTCATCATTTTTTTGCAACTTTTGAAAGTTTTTGAAGATTTTTGGGGAAATAAGATACATAATAAATGTTTTGTAATTGAAGACCCCCCCCAATAATATATGTGTAACTAAATCACAAAAAGTTTCCAGGGTACTTATTAGTCACTGTCAAACGTTCCCAGAAGGTCATAAATTAATGTTATGCTCTACCATGCTTCAAATATGTACAAAACCACACTCCTGGTAAGAACTGTAGTATCTAAGAAGTGAGACTCAGTAAGGTTGGTGTAAGTGCTAGAAAATGCAGATCAGCATCTTTCCCGGACAGTAATTGTATTAGTTTTAAAGCTAGTAACTTGCCCTTACTCTGAGTGCTTGATGTCTTAAATTATATTGTCTGCTTCAAGAACTTAAACTGAACGGTGTCATAAAACCACAAGATTACAAAGCAAAGTATTCAAAACTATCACTTCCATCCCCAATTATTCATTTATGTGAGTCAGGATCACCAAAACATTAAGCAACAAAAATAATACATCAAATAGGCAAATTAGAAAACATCTCTGAGGTCTTTTTTCAAATTACTAGGTCTCTTCATTAAAAAAATCATGATGTTCTCAAAGAAGAGCTTTATAAGAAGTACCGGACTGGGAACCTACAAAAAGTTTATGGTAGGGCTGGGGATTTTAGCTCAGTGGTGCTGCTGCCTGCATCGCAAGTGCAGGGTCCCGAGTTCGATCTCCAGTACAAAAAAAGTTTATGGTATATAAAAACATCTATAGAGCTGGGTGTGGTGGTGCACGCCTGTAATTCCAGCACTCGGGAGGCTGAGGCAGGAGGATTGCTGAACATTCGAGACCAGCCTGGGCTACATAGTGAGTTCCCGGATAGTCTCAACTACATAATGAGATCCTGCTTCAAAAAACAAAACAAAAAATAATAATAATAAAAAAATAAATCTATAAACAAGCCTATGCGATGGTACACACCTCTAATTCCAACATTCTGGGAGGCTGAGGCAGGAGGACGACAAGTTTGAGCCTAGCCTGTCCAATTTAGCAAGACCTGCTTAAAAAAGGGGTGGGGGGGAAAGCCATGGGTACAATCACTTGTACTGCAAATAAATAAGTAGATTGGCTAGTTAAACTCCTAATCTGATACTTGCCTCTTTGTCTGACCTTCGAGGACATAACGCATCCACTTCATCAAAGAATATCACACATGGTGCTGAGTTCTTGGCTCGCTGAAAAACCTGCCGCACAGCTCGTTCACTCTCACCAACATACTAAACACTCAGAGAAGAAACAGAATGTAAAGTTCAACTCTGGGGTTTGGGCCAAACGGTAATAAACTAATTTTAAATCACATTTAGATGCAGAGCTCAAAATGTATTAAATTCAACCACATGCAAGTACTGATGTTAAACCACTATTAACTTGTAAAATTAGCTAATTGTGTATGGTTCAACTCAATATAATTAGCTACTGTGTAAGATAATAAGTTTTCTTATCAAATGAAAACCAGAATATAAGGTTTTCTCTAGCTCAAAAACTTCCACAGTTCTGCTGTTTAAGAATTCATCTCTTATGCCTTATAAGTTGTAAAATACCCAATAGTGATTTTCATTAATTTGACAGTATTTTAAATGTATGAAAATCAAATTCTTATTTCTAGTATTTGTCATACAGCAACAGAGGAGTCAAACTGAATCAGTCAGGCATCTTACAGGTGTTATAATGGCTTACTATGTGCTAAAATTTAAAGCAAAACAAAACACTAAGATCAGTAATGTCAGGACTAAGCACTATGACAAATTATATGTAACAACATGGTTTCAGTTTTTAGTTGGGCATAAGAAATTATTCTTGTTCAATTTCAAACTACTTGATGAAGAACAAAGTTATTTCTTTCTTTTTTTTTGTTTTTCTGGGCACCGGGGATCAAACTTGGGACTTTGCGCTTGCAAGGCAGGAGGCAGAACCACTGAGCTAAATCCCCGGCCCAGAAAAAGTGATTTCTTAATAAAATTGCTAAGGCAGAATCCAAAAATCATCATTATAATACCAACTACTCTAAGCCATCATGTAATTATTTAATGACTACATGACCATAACAATCAAAGAGAAAGCTGGGTGTGATGGTGCACACCTGTAATCCCAGCACTCAGGAGGCTGAGGTGTAAGAGATTCCCTGTAAGTTCCAGGTCAGCCAGGGCTACACACCGACTTCAAGGCCAGTCTGTATTACACAGCAAGACGCTGCCTCAAAAACCAAAAACCACCTTCATCATCAAGGCAAAGATTATAAACATCATAGATAATGGTGATTAAAGTGTTTTAATTCATGTGAATAAAACTTTCCCCCATATCTATCTCATACATTTCTTTGAACTTTTGTTCATTTTTCTTCCCTTACGTAATAGCTTTTCTAATGTGCCTCCAAACATTTCTTCCTGCATTCTAAAAGGCCCTGATAATTATTATTCTTATAAGTATGTATTTTGCTTTTTTGTTTTGTTTTTTTGGTACCAGGGATTGAACACGGGTCCTTGCGCTTGTGAGGTAGGCCACCGAACCACTGAGCTAAATCCCCGGCCCTATGTATTTTGCTTTTTCAACATTTTATACTATTATAACATTTGAATTCTTCTACTTTTGCCATTAGTACAGTCCTCAGGAGCAGAAGTCACGTCTTTTTCAAAATTTTCTCTCACAACATTCTGCACAATGTAAAAATGATATACCGATTTTCCTTAAAAATCAAACCTAGCGAAAATTATATTTGAAATGGTGAAATATAATACAGTATTTAGTTGACTGATTCATTCATTTATTTGACCAAGGTCTCTGTGTTGTTCAGGCTGGCTTGAAAGTCATGGTGGTCCTCCTGTCTCACTTCCTGAGTGTTGGTATATTACAGGACTAGGACACCATGCCCAGCTAGTACACATTTTAAAGGAAAACACAGTAAACAGTGAGTTGAGAGAGACAAAGTTTTGGGCAGAGATGGAAGAGAGAAATCAATACAATTGGAGAGAGACTGGGGATTTAGCTCAGTGGTGCCACCTGCCTCACAAGCATAAGGTCCTGAGTTCAATCCCCAGTACCCCCCCCCCAAAAGATTCTGGATACACACACACACACACACGTATGTATATATGTAGCAAACACAAAAAAATGAAATAAAACAATTAAAGGCAAGGTTAAAACCAATTTAATCTCAAACAATGTAATGATTAAAAATAAGCAAATGAGAGCCTGGGATTTAGCTCAGGGGTTCTGCTATCTGCCTTGCAACTGTAAGGTCCTAAATTTGATCCCTGGTACCAAAGGAAAAACAAAGAAAAAAAATTCTCACCTTAGCTTTTGAGAATAAATATTTCAAGATGCTGCTGTTATTGTCCTTAATTCTTTATTAGCCATTCAATTGTCAGCTGTTATGATCTGATTTTGGCAAGGCCCATTACTGAGAATATTCTCTCTAAACTCACCAAATGCAGAGCTCTACTCTCAGTTTCTCTCATGCTGCCTGCTCAAGTTGACAGTTTCAGTTTTGGGGGCTAGAGTCTTTTTTTTTTTTTTTT